GAATGCAATCATTGATGTTATATTGGCACATATTCATAATTTATGCAGGATTGGTTTTGGTCTCGGTGACTTCCTGTTCTGTTTCTGCATCTCTTCTGTTACTAAGCTCTAACAGGATCTAATCTTTTTTACCTCTCACTGCTTCATTTTTACAGGTATCTCTTCTATATCCACTATGATAAGACTCATGAAAGGAAACCATGCAACTTGCTTGTAATATACCTCTGGCCTTTTATAAGTTACCTCCATACTGCAATTTTCTGTTCTTTAAAAACTGTGTCTTACAGTTGATTGGTATTAATATTTGCTCTTTCCTGTTTGCTTCTTTTGTTTTCATTTCTCATGAACTATTGGGCTGAAAATAATTTTTATCCTTACTATACAGTTGTTTTCTATATGACCTTCTTTATTGTACTTTGTCTAGATACATTGTCTTCCTTGACTCGGTTGTGATAAATTTAAAAACCTATATGGGAAATCAAAATTATTTCCTGCATTTATTCTTTTTACTGATTTTCAAACATTCTTTCTTTGAAAGCATCATGCTACAGCATTTTCGGTTCTAGTAATTTTCCAGATACACTGAAATTAATTCTACTGTGTTTATTAGTGACTGACCCATCCGTACTTACCACCTAAACTGATTTATGAATGTACATTCATACAGTTTTTTTTTTCCAAAAGATGATAATTTAAGTATAGTGATATAGCTTCCCTAAATCTTGCTTCGTAGAAATATTTATCATGACCCTATATGTTTGATCCCCTGTTCACATACAGGAAATGAAGCAATTGTTGAAAAAGTATTGAGATTCTTTTGTTGGTCACCTTCTATAATGTAGACACATTCTCTGTCAGGAGGATACTTGTTCGGATAATTGGGAGAAGTGAAGATGCCTCCTTCTGCATATTTTGTCCAGGTTCCACACTGCACTGGTTTCTGTCCTTCGGAAGTAGTTTGCTTTTCTGTAAAATGATGACATTAAACATTACTTAATTAGCTTATAAATTATTATGTCTCTCTGACACTGAGAACTCTCTTACAAGTTAAAACAGTCCCTTTTGCAAATCTAAGTTTTTTTTTTTTTCTGTTAAGACAGACAGTATCATCACTAACTTGGGAAAAATGAAGCTGTCCTTTAGGAGTATAAATATCTAGATCTTACTCAAAATACCTTTTTATTCACAAGTGATCTCAGAGGAGAGAAGAGGTTTAGATGTCTAGGGGAAGACACTTTTATATAGCTTTTAAAATTATATTCTTGGAGGGAAAGCACCTGCTCAAGAAATGGGAGACACCACTTTCATACTCCTGTCTCGAAAGACCGGAGCCCTCTCAGTAAGTTACATTGCTTAACTTGCCTTTAACATATAGACCATGTAACCTGCTGATCAGCAAGTCACATGCCGTGGGCAGGAAAATATTGGAGTCCTGGAATCAGGGAGAAAACATGTGGATTCAGATAGAATAGAAGAATTGTTTCTAATCCACAGCAGATTGATTCTACAACCACCTGACAGGGATGAATAGAGGGAATTCCTGGATTCTGTTTCTAACATTATTTTTAACCTGCTCCTTGCTGGGAAAAAAAAAAAAAAGTATAAATAGCTCTAGGGCCAGAAAGCGGAGTCCAGAAATTCCCTTCTCCTAAACAAATTATTTTAGAGCAGAGTCAGTCCCTCTTGTTTGCTTTCTTCCTAGCCCCAAGTCTCTTGCCTGCCTTCCTGCACACTGGCATACAGCCTGGAGCTAAAGGCTGAAGAAAGGAAAAAAAATCACTTCTGGACATCATGCTTTAGCAGGTAGTCTATAATAAGATAGATGCTGCTATAATCTGAACAATTTTGGGGAGAGAAAAAAAAATAGGCAGGTATTACAAAGAACGATTCCAGGTTCCAGACCTCACACAGGTGCCTCCGCAATACTGGAAGCTCAGAATCTGTCTATGTCTAAGAAGAACTGTTCCACCTAAATTAAACTACTGATGTTTCACACCAGATAATTAAGGTCCCTTCAATCTATCAATGGGGGAAGACAGGCACCTTCCAATGGTGATTTTAACTACCTGCTATGAGACCCTGCAAGTATTTCTCTTTCTTTGTTGGCTGTATCCAAGCCAAGGATAACTCCTCAGGAGTTATCTCCTGAAATGAATTCATACCCAAATTCAGGCAGCCCCTTGGCTCAGTATCTCTCACTGCTTGGCACACATCACGCTTAGCACCCAGGTTTAAGAATCTTCTTCTATCCTCACTCTGCACAAGCAGCCAGGATGCCTAGTTCCAGATTTTCTGCTTTGAATTCTGATTCAACAAGGAAAGGCATCTAAAAGGCTATTTCACTTCCCATTATATTTGTACCTGCAGCTTTAATTAGCAGACAAAACTAAGGATTAGACTGGTATTGGATTTTTATCAATTCACAGGCACACTAATGCTAAAGATAATGGAACAAAAGAAAGGACCTGCTATTAAAAACTGACAATTCAAATCTGCACTTTAAATTTCAATGTAATGTTTTAAATGTCTGAAGTCTACATACCTGATCCTTTTTTGGTTGCCCCAGACAAATGTAGGATGATTAGACTTGCTACAACTGAAAGAGAAAAATAAATTGGCTATCACAGTGTGCTAGTGTCTGCAATCAAACAACTGTAAACATCTATCCCAAAAGAACACAGCTTTAATAGAATTACTGCACAGAAACAATCTGTTTCACGTTTACTTGCATCTTGAAATTACATTTCTTGTGTAAAAACATCTCTTTGTGACCTGCCCCTGGAAGTATTTTCCTTTGTAAATGTTTCAAAATAAAGAGATCTTAGTTAAAATTAAAAAAAAAAAAATCCATCCTTTTTCTTTCTAATATTTAGAGCAAATCATTTAACTAGTATTTATAATAATAATACAATAATAAAATAACAAAATAGTGGTTGTTTCTAAATGAGGGAGACAAAGCCTCAGTGCTAGTAATCTCTCTTACTATGGCATACTAAAATCTGAAAATGGCTATTGTGACTATAAAAGAAATGAGGGGTTGGATTCTTCACATCCATCAAGGCATTTGCAAATTCCTGATGAAATAAATTATTGCATGTGCTTAACAGTTCCATTAATCTAGTTTGTGTGACTCTCAGTACACGTAGCTTTACGCTGCAATGAATCTGCAGCCCATTATACAAATAAAACTTGCCTATGTCCAATCATGCCTCCTGGGAACAAATGTGATCTTTCTTATCATGGTGTCAAGCTCTCCAGCTTCTTGCAGCTTCTCCTGAGTTCATGGGAAATACAGAATATGAAATTTCGACTGGAATAAAAGATTAAGAAGGAAATGCTCAGGCCAGTGGTAGAGAGTCTGCTTTGGAAGAGCAAAGCAAAAACCTCCTTGGTCACTAGCTAGCTACCTGATGAAGAAATCACCCACTGAGAGTAGTGCTTTCTTTGCATTACCTATATCTTGCTTACTGTTGGAGAAAGCAGGCTAGCAAGAACAGAAGAGAACAGATCCATGTGTTTATGGACTGCCGATGGATTTTGACCCCAGCTATTTTGGCATTCTGCCTGGACATAGTGATCAGACCTCACTAAAGCTAAAGTGCAGATGAACGTGCATGTTTATCCTCATTACTTCAGATTGATGAGTTGCCATTTGTAGCATTGAATGTGGAATTAATAGACTTGTCATTTTTAACAAATACAATTGAATGACATACTTTCTTCTTCTTACCCACAAGAGACACCAAAGACATCATGGGCTAGTAACCAGCTGCCCAAATAGTCCCTTCTTAGATGGTGCTGCATCATTTCCCAATTTTATGCTGCAAATTGTATGCAATTTAACCGTGTTGGAGGCCGGTTTCTCTATATCTCCAGTATTCTAATAGCATTGGGATCTCTATTTCGATGTCTTTGACCCCTCCCATGTGATAGTTTCATACATGGAGCATGGCTACCTTATTAAACAGGGAAAGGTTGAAAGGCTGGGAAAATGAAGACTTGGCAGCATATTCACTGTTTCTTGGTCAGGCTCACCACTCCTGTGCCTTTTGAATTCCCAGCTAACAGAGACGGATGTTGGCAGAGCTGGTAGTTAAAAACTCTTCTGTGTCATCTGCATTCAGCGAGAACATTACATCTTCTACTCAGATCTGGATGATACCCAACCATTCATGCCCTCCCTCTCCTCAGAGATGGAGTCTGGAAATACGTGCTAGCTGAGACTCTACCCTTCAGCTATGGCAGAATCTGAAGGCAATGAAGGATTTACCGAGTTGCTCATTTACTTTGCTGTGTTTCCTGCAGTGAACATTTTGCATCTACGCCTGTAATCCTCACCAGCCAAACTCTTAATTTCTCAATAGTGCAAGGTGTTAGGCTATGGAGCCAGCTGCAGGAATTCTTTCTTGCCATAAATTAATGGGAGCTAGAATAGGAGATGCAGCAGCTAAGTAAACTTATGGTTAAGTCAAAGACATTTCTTATTAGGCAGGTAATAGCATCTCATATCTTATTCTTACGCATTCCTTTCAAACACCTTTCAAGTATTATCATCGCACCCCTCTTTTTCTATATAGAAAAACTGAATTTCAGAGAAGTAAAGTAAGTTGTCCAAGACAGTAAAATACCACCACAAAGATAATAGTTAAAAAACAAACAAACAAACAAAAAAAAAACCCAGATCATTTCATTTTGAGCCACAGCCACCAGAAAGAATGTTTCCCAGTCACAGAGACATGTTGCTGTCCTTACTAATAAGGAGCTGAAGGGTTTTTTTGAAAATAAAAGACAATAGAAAAGAAGAAAATAAAATACTCTGAGCATTTTCTAGACAAATAGACACACAGAGTGAGATACTTTGGCATATCAAAAGAAAAAAAAGAAAATGTGAGAGCAATGCTTGGTTTAATGTTATGAAAACCAACATTATCAAAATATGTATATTGCCAGAAAGTAATTAAAATTATGGGCTTTGGGGGAAAAGATGACACAATGCGTTTCATTCAAGTAGTCAAGACAATCCTGTTTATTCTATGATCTCTCTCCTTTTTCAATTCAAACCACAGAAAAAGGTAAAAAAGACCCCCAGGAGCCCAGTCATGTTGTCTTTACTCAAGAGCTGTCACTCAGGAAGCTCTGACGATGGGGTAACAATATTGGCGTTATCTGAGCTGAGAAATTATGGGAAATAAAAGTAGTTTCCATCAGAATTCTTGTTGCACACTCTTAACTCTTTCTTCCTCCTTTCTGCTTCTCTGCTAATCCTCAATCTAGTTATAATCACGCTTTCTAGTACCTCTCTTATGACACATCTTTGCGGGTCTTTGCATTTTCCCATTACAAGCTATACATTAAAAAGTCTCTCTCTTGGCCAGGCAACACCTGGAGCTATGGGTTGGCACGGATGTCTCTTAGACTGGTGAAGAGTTGTTGGAAGAGC